CCCTGATAATGAACGGTTTCGTGGCAAATGGATCCATTTCCTACCAAGACAAAGGCCATCGGAATGATTCACTCACCTTCCACTATGAAGGTGCTCACTAAAAACAAACCTGAACATACTGCCCTGTTCAAAACTGGGCCAACTACCCAACCATAACTCAAGAAAAGCAGTAATAAACTTTCTATACGTAAAACTCAAAGGTTGAGCCTTGAGAAACCTGAGATAAAAAATATAATTTTCCTCTGTGCCGCGGTATGAATTATAAAGTTTCATTTCATCTGTCTTCTTTTTCTTATATTTTGATAAATGTACCCCTTTAAAAAATCAAATTATTTTGTTGCTTATAATGGCTCTTCAAGAGTTGGCTCTTCTGACTGGTCCCTCCCTATGTGTTAAAAAAAAAAAAAAAAGGCGAACCCATTAAAAACAACATTCCTGATTGTCTTACTATCACCAGCAACGAGACTCATAATTCTCCTTTTCATAGAAATAGAGTTTCTTGCGATAGCCTTCCCTCTTCCCAGGCACAGACACCAAAACCAAAACCCAAATCCAAACCCAAAGCAAGCTCATTGTTTGTACCTCTTTCATCCAAACAAACAAAACCCCACGCCCCAAGTCCTATCAGCCTGTGGTTCCCACACTGTTGGGATCAGAGTCACCTAGGAAGCAGATTAAAATGTAGGATCGCAGTGAGGACATACCAGCAGGAGCCAAGGCATCTGCATTTCGTAGAAGACCCAGGCACTCACAGAACCCCCTGGGAAAAGCTCGGAGAGAATGGAGAAGTGGAAAATGCACCCTGGTCCTATAGCTTCCCTGGTGGGTTTTCATATGGTTGTGGGTGATGCCATCGGAGCCATGGGTGCAGATCTGTGGGAGCTCAGGTTGTGTGTTACAGAGGAGCAGGCATCGCCTGGATGTGGGAATCAGCCAAAGAAAGAAGGAAGACAAGGGTTTCCATCAGCTGGTTGTTGGACCAACCATGGAACAGAGCTTCAGAAAGACAGGTATGCTGTCTCAGGGAATCTCTCTCCCACAAAATGTCTAACTTCCTCACGCTCAGGAATTTCTTTCTTTCTTTTTCTTCTTCTTCTTCCTTTTTTTTTTTTTTTTTTTAACGCAGCCTTCCTAGGGCAAAAATATAAAATTTTCTTTCTATCCTTTTTTTCATTCTCGGTCTCCAATTTCTGATTCCTAGAGATCTGATTATCCTAAGTATTTTGTTTTTTTCTTTTAGAAAGTCTTGCCTCCAACTCATTGGTGCCCAGTTCTTCCTGATAAAAATTCTTTCTCCTTCTGCTCCCGAGATTTTTCTTCCTCGTTTGCTAGCTCTTATCTTCTCCTCAAGTGGGTAAGGGCTCGCTCTCCCTTTAAGAAACTGAAATGACTAATTGGAAATGCATTCTACCTCTGTTAAAGAAGTATTCCTGGTCTTGTTGATGTGCCAGAGTTTTAAAGTTGGCAGATGGAGTGAGCTCAGAAACTCCAGCACTTGTTCTTGACCCTGGAAATAGGATCCAGCTTCGCATACTTTTCATAGCGAAACCACAGTGTGGCAACAATGATAGACGAGGGGTGCCAGATAAAACACGGCACGCTCTGTTAAAGTGCGATTTCAGAAAAACAGAAAGTGGATTTTTAGTATCAGTATGCCCCCAGATAGTGCATGGGACATACTTATACTGAAAAAATTATTTGCTTATTATCCGAACTTCAACTTTAACTCTGTGTCCTGTGTTTTTATGAATCTGGCAACCCTGTGCTAGATGGACTTCTAAATAAAAATAGCAACATCACTGTGATTATTATTTTTCATTTCTGGAGTTCTGTAAAGGCACCCTGATGTCATTGACTAGGCATCAAAATACATTCATTTAAAGGTTCTTAAAGCTTTTTTATTGTTTTAAGTGTTATATGCCGAACATAAAAGGCCCCATTCGAGGTTGCCTTTTCAACCAAGTAATGCTATCATTAAAGTATGCCCATATCTCCCAGTATTGGAAATTAGAAAATGACACGTAGCCTTCTTGTCTTTAGACCGGCTAGTTGAATGCATTTTTAAGTGTTGGTAACATTGATATGCTTGAAAGCACTGAAGCTGACGTTCTATAAAATTTTGGAGCATCTCTACATTATGTTTATTTATGCACAGTGACTTGGCAGTTAATTCAGCTGCTGTGTTTTCTTGTTTTTGCACCAAGCGTCAGCTCCTACCGTTAGAAGTCTACACCTGAATAATCACTCATCTTTAGTCACATAAAATGTGTATTGTACATATTCTCACTTTAATGATGTCTATAGAGACAAACTTCCAAAGATGGTGATTTTTTTTCCCCCTTTTTGAAATAAATGCATTCATTTATAACTTTAATGGAATTTCAAGTGCTTTTGTGTTTGGCTCACACCAGCTGATGCAATGAAAACCTTATGAACAAAGACCTGTGTTTTGATGCTTCATCAATGACTTGAGAATTGCTATTATGGGACACTACAAAATTGCTATTATGGAAATAAAAAAAAATTCTAA